TGTTCGAGATGGGGCTTATCCATTTCTGCACTACTTATCTTAAAATTTCTACTCACGAACTTTTTGCTGCACTAAATTGGATAATATACGACTGATCAAGTCCATATTGTATTTTTAGCAAGAAATTGCATTTGAGGTCATTCATGTTGCTAGGTGTCTCAAGTCATGAAATTTTGCAGATCATGCAAAAGCATCAGAAGTATTTTGCAGTAACTGATCAGGATGGAATGTTATTGCCACATTTTATTGTTGTGAGACACATAATCATACCGTTTATCAATTTATTTTTGAAATTTATAATAATACTGGAGACTCTGGTTATAGTTCTCGAATCCACGTGTTTGTTATGTTTGTTCAGGTTGCAAATGGAGCAATTAGTGAGAAGGTTGTGAGGAAAGGAAATAAAGCTGTACTTAGGTTGATATACACCTAATATGTGTACTGTTGGATTTGTTCTTCTAATGACTTGTGCTGTAAATTAAGCATCAAAATGTGGTTCATGAGCTCGATATGAAGATGCAAAGTTCTTCTATGAGTTGGACACAAGCAAGCGATTCTCTGAATTTCGAAATCAATTGAAGGGGATCCTATTCCATGTAAGTTTCTAACAGTTTTGATGTATCTTTTTTGGTGCTTAGAAGGTTTTGGTAGGACGTATGAGGAAGTCTCATTTCCACAGTACATAGAAGTTGCAAACAAATATTATATTGTATTAAATTATATTATATTTTATGATGGAGCATCAAATTTTTATCTGTGCAAAGATCTGGGAGTTTAATCATCTGATCACCTTTAAGATAATAGCACTTTGTTACTGTTGATACATGCAAATCCTTAGAACATGGCTTTTTAAGTCCGGTGCAGTTCCTTGTTACTGATATTGTAATAAACAGGAAAAGCTGGGAACAATGCTGGACAAGATGACACGTGTCCAGAGTCTGGTTACTAAAGTAGGATCGAAACTGGGAATGACTGAAGACATCCTCAAGGTCATTGAGGAGGCTGCATCATTAGTCATGTCAGATCTTTCATCTGCAGTTGTTACCGAATTTACTTCCCTTGCTGGGGTAATGGGCCGTCACTATGCCCTAAGAGATGGCTACTCTGAGCTGGTTAGTCTGCTTTTTCTGACAAAGTGGGGAACTTACTGTAACTTTCTAGTTGTTTCTAAGCTCTCATAATCTCATTGCATTTTCTTTTTTTATAGACTCTTCATCAGCTCCCATCTATTCAATCTCCTTCAGTTCTTAGAGATAGGAAAGATGTGCTTGACACTGAAGTCAGCTGAAGCTCATAATTTCTAAATGTTTTACTTATTACATTGGGGGCATAATTGATTTTCATGATTTAATACCTGTCTCCATTTCTGAAGATTTTCTGATTTTGCGCACATACTGAACTTCAATAGTTCACATTCCCACCCTAGCTAGACACCCTTCTTTATGTAATTAGCATGCTTAGTTACTGCATTGGTTTCCAAGACTCTAAGCAATATTCTCTGGTATATCAGGTTTCTGAGGCAGTATTTGAGATCACACTTCCTCGATTTTCAGGAGACATGCTTCCGAAAAACTGATGCTGGAACAGTATTGGCAATATCTTACAGGTAAACTGAGAACCTCTTTTGTTTTGTTTTTTTTTTCTTCTGCCCTATGTCAGATGCGATAAACTAATTGACAGAGTCGAATTGCGCTCAGAGGTAAGAAACTAGAAAATTACACAACTGAATGAGTTTAGGGCTGTAAAACTTGATAGTTGATACCTGATCATCATTTTTTGGTTGAGATGAAAGTCATTAGGCAAAAATTGTCCATCATTCAACAGATGGTTTCTGTTATTCTTGATTCATTTGGTCAGTATATTGATAATGATTTTTATTTGATGAACTGGTACAAAAGCCTACCTGATGAGGCACACGTGAAACATTGTTAGAAATTTGGTTTGATCCCGATGTGACCAAATATTCAAGTGAATCCATTTAGTGTAGAGTGGAAATAAATAGGTTGAAATTAATCTATGTCGGAGTAGTTGGTCATGATATTGGTACTACTCAAAACCAATTTTTCATCAACAGGTCGGAAAGCCTTGTCGGGTTGTTTTCTGCTGGTTGTCAGCCAAGCTCCGCAAATGATCCGTTCGGCCTGCGAAGAATCTCATATGGTCTGGTATGCCTTTACCAGTATAATTGGAAGGATCTTGATCTGTAGAGAGGGTATATAATTAATGTTTACTTTATTCTTTTAGGTGCAATTGTTAGTAGACACCAATAGGAATTTGGAGGTGAGGTATGCTTTGGAGCTTGCTGCTGCTGTTCAGCCCATAAAAGTAGAATCAGAAACAATAGATGATGTAAGAGATGCTATATTCTGCCATTTGATTTCAATTTTTTTCATTTATTTTCTACATACTATTTTCTAAGAAATGGAAGTTGATGACTTGCTTTTATACAATAGCCTCTAGCAACTACCGAAAATATGACCTTTCATTTTCAATTCTGTTGTACTGGGTGGAATTAGATTCATGTTTTATTCTCTATTTTGAATCACACTACATGTGATTTTGCTGCTGCAGCGCAATTTATAGATAGAGATGCAAATTTTCAACAAGCTGCATCTGACGGAATAATGGTCTATTATAGAACTTTTGCCTCTTCCCATGTGGGATCGTTATTGACCGTGCCATGTGTATATGTGCGTGAACAAATAAATACACCGTTTCCGCAATGCATGGAGTTCTTTGCATGACTCTTGTTTTCTTTTCAAGTGAATTGAACATAACAATTTACTCTTTTGTTTTAGGCACATCAATTTGTAACAAGAAGACTTGAGCAGCTTTTGGTACGTGGGTGAATTTTTCCTAGAGGATTTTAGTTTTCATGTCTTCATTTTTCTAACTCAGAACGTGGGGCCTGTTTTGGATTTATTAGTAACTTTTTATAAATAGTTATTGACCACTGAAAAGGCATAATCTGTTCGGAAGTAGAACACCTTCTGTTTAGAAGAGAAGTTCTCCCAAGCACAAGTTTTAAATACAAAAATGTGACAAAATAGTCTTGTTTATGAGGTTGATTTTTGCTGTATCAGTGTTACCTGAAACTAACAGTAATGATATAGTGATCGTCAAATTCTTGTGTCTGCACATTATCTTTTAGATTAATTTGAAGGAATGATTAGAATTATGGCAAGTTAATTTCTATCTGAGTTTTGTAGGCTTTTTGTCTTCCTGTTGTGTTATCTGCCTTATTCCATACATGAAGTGGTTTATATCCCTGGTGTTTCTATACTTTATATATAAAGTTTGATCTAAATTTTGATCATTTACTCTTATCTATATTTCGAGTATATGCTTGGGTGTATCCTTATATCTGTGATTAGATGAGTTCTATATCTGTTAACTTGAAGTAGGTCTCACACTTTTGCCTTCTTCTGTTGCATAATTGGGTGTTTCACGAGTTTAACTCATATTTGACAGATGGACAAAGGAGTAAGTCCAGAAGTTGTTCGCGCTGTTCTTGCAGAGCGTGTAAATTTGCCTTGTCTTGCTGCCAAGTCTGCATATAAAATAAGTGATGATGAAACTCTTCTTTTATTTTTCAATTTTCTGCCCATGCCGCCCCATGTAGGCTAATAATTCTTAATTAGTCACATATTTTGTTGCGAGATAGGTTGGTTATTACCGTCTTCTCCAAAGGCTGTTATGTTGTTCATTTAATTGTGAGCTCTTCATTGATACTAGGTGGTGATCCACAAATCTTACACTTCCTTTTATATCTATGAGTGCTCTCCAAAACCTTTCTATAAGTAAATTAAACCCTGAAGCATTCTATATTTATGGTTCCAAAATGTCAACACGAGTTTTGAGGTGTGAGGCTTTGACCACCTGTCAAATGGTATTGCTGAGATTAGATCCTCTCAAATGAATAGTGGATTCTATAATTGGGATACCAATTAGCTGCCAAGCAACTCTTAAATATTTTACATGCGGGACTGGACTGTTGAACTCATTAATCTCTTGTTGAGAATCAATTGCAGGCAAGACATGGGTTTTGCAAGTCTATAAATGGCATAAACTGGGC